CTTGGGAGAGTGTGGTGCTGATAACACCAAGGCCATGGGTTTGGATCCCTATATAGGGACGGCTGGTTTGCTCACTTGGAAGAGCATGGTGCTGACAACACCAAGTCAAGGGTTAAGATCCCCCTACCGGTCATCTTTTAAGAAAATAAATAAATAAATAAATAAATAATAAAAAAAAAGAAAGAAGGAAAGAAAGAGAGAGAATGAAAGAAAGAAACTCAGCCAGCCTGTATGGCATTATTTTTGTAAAATTATCAAAAATAATGAAGGCGTTTACCAGGATAGATTTAGGATAGGTGCAAGATAAAAGAAGCAATCTGAACTTCCCTCACCATGTCTCAGCCTCTAACTAGCCCAAAGGGGAATAATAGGACCTACTGTTTGACTTGGCCAACCATTGAGACACGGGCAGACTCCAGGTTTCGAATCTGGCCACTTTTCACACTAGGAGAGAAAAAGTCAGAAGGGAGAGAGGATGTTATTCAGCATCAATCTTATCACATCACTAGAATAGTGAGTAATTTTGCAGATTCCGTGGCGCATAATAAAAACTTGAGGTTACTAATGTTGCTTACTATGGAGATTACCATTACTCATCTGGCTATTATGGCTACGAATCAGGTAGAAAAAGTTAAGTAAAGACATTGTACAAAGACATTGTAACCATTTCAGTTCTGCAAATATTTACCAAGAGGGTACTATGTGCCAGGCCTGTGCTCAAGAAGCACATAACTGAATAGGGAGAAAAAGATACAAACAGATAATGTTAATATAATAAAGCAAGTGTCAAAGAAAGCACTTTATTCTGAATGAGGTGGTTAGAGAAATCTTCTCAAAGGTCCTGCTTACACTTTTCCTTTGTTTTTTTGTCTTTTTTCGTGTCCGGCAACGGACCGCAACCCTCAGTGTCGCGCCCGTTCCGGACCGGGACCGGCAACAGGATCGCAACCCTCGGTGCCGCGCCCGCCCCTCGCTCAGCCAGTGAGCGGGAACCGGTCTGTATGTGGGATCCGAATCCTCGGCAGGAGCACCGCCGCACTCCCAAGCGGCGCACTGTAGCAGTGCCACCGGGCCAGCCCAAGGTCCTGCTTACACTGAGGACTGAAGATAAGAAGTTAACCAGAAAATAAAAGAAGGTCTTCTTCGGAAAAAAAAATGAAATAAAAGAAGATGGTCAGAGCATTCTAGGTAGGGGGTGTAATGTGGACAAAGGTACTGTGATGTAAAAGTCAGCAGGATAATGATTTTAAAGAATTGAACAGCAGGAGAAGTCAGCAGGGAGAGAGCAAAGAAGGAGTGTGACAGAATAGGGTAGCAAGGCCACTTCCTACAGGGCCTTGCAAGCCATACTGTACAGCTTGGACTATCTGAATAAATTAGTCTTCTCATACTTGTCTATCTAAGTACATCTAAGGACAAAGCAAAATGGCTGCATGTCCTAGGAGGAACAGGAAACACTGAAGCAGGCCACCAGGAGAACACGTTTCTTTAAATCTCATTTTTTAGCTTAAAAAATCATGTAAAATTTTAAAGCCCCTCCCCTTAGATAAGGACAATGTTTCTTACTTTTATGATAAACAGAAGCAATCAAAACTACTTCATCTTTCGCCCACTAACTGAATCTACAAACCCACTAGTATTTGTAACCATAAACTCTGCCTTGATGCCTGTTTAATACATGAAGTATCTCTATTCCTATTCAAGGCCAACCTTGAGTCCTTGGGTTCCCATCCTCTCTTCCTTCAGAAAGGATGTTGTTTCCTTCAGTTATCCTGTCTCTCTTCTGTGTCATTTTTTTTTCTCTAGTGGATGTCATAAACATACTGCACGATCTAGCCCTTAAAAACATACCCGACGCCACATTCACTATTAGCTACTACCACAATTTTCTGCTCTCCTATACAGCAAAACTCTTCAAAAGGGTTATCTTGCTTTCTCCATTTTGTTGCCTCTCATCCTTCCCCCAACCTATATCCCCAACTTATATTAGGTTTTTATCTCCCACTTATTTTCTTGACAAGTTTCCTCTTGTCAAGATTACCTCTATCATGCCAGTTTCAATGATCATTTCTTGGTCCTCATCTTACTTGATCTCTCAGCAGCATTTGACACAGTTGTCTCTCCCTCCTTCTACAAACATTTGCTATACTCTCCTGGTTTTCCTTCCACCTTACCATTTTCCGTTCCCTTTGTTGTATCTTCTTCTTCTTCCCTAGCTCTAAATGTTGTGGAATATCCCAAGGCTCAGTTCTTGGATCTTTTTTTCTATCAACATCAAATCCCTAGGTGATTGCATTCAATCTTTCAGCTTAAATATTACCTATGTGATAACAATTTTCCAATTTGATCTCTAGCTCAATCTTTTCTAACTAGTGTATACAGCGACCTACTTAATATTTCCACTTCAATGGGTTAATAGTCATTTCAGTTTATCCAAACAAAACTCCTGATTCCCTGCCCCTTATTTGCACCCAAATCTACTTCTGTCTCTACCATTTACCTAATTGCTTGGGCTAAAAACCAGAAGTCATCTTTGAATATCTCCCTTCCCCCCTCTGTCTCCCAACATCCAATCCATAAACCAATCCTGTCAGTTCTACCTTCAAAACACATTTCAAATCTGACCATATTACTTCCTCTGTTACCACCTCAGTCTACGCTTACCATAATTGTTCTCCTATACTACCACAATAGTCTCCTAAGTAATTTGCCATTTCCATTATCAACCCACTCCCCACTCCTTCCCTTACTCTATTTTCCTCAGAGAAGCCAAAGTGGTGAAACCAGTCTGAAGTCAAAGCCCAAGATCTTAAAGACTATATACTGCTGCTTTTTATTAGGAAGATCAAGAGAGCAAAAGCAGAAATCTGCTGGTCTTGTATTTCAACAACTTTAAAAAATAATCTGGAAGAGCCAAAATGGCCATGAGTCATAACTTCATTCAGATATCTGGTGGAGTACAAAACAAAATTACCAAATACCTTCTACTATTCTTTCTGATTCTCAGGCTCAGAAAGTGGGTTCTTGACATTATTAACTTTTGATCAAGATGGTGGAATAGATGGTTCCCAGTGTCACTCTCTCCCACAATAAACCAACTTACAACTATTAAAAAGCAACAACTGCCAAGCTGGAGCTACTAGAGCGCAGGGAAAAGGAGGAGAGACCCACAGAGTTTATGAAGGCAGGAAAAGCAGCAATGGGAGAAAGAAATTTCAACTGTTTTGAGTCCAGGCCTCTTCAAGCCTGGCCCTGGTATGTACACAGAGCAAGAGCCAACAAAAGTCACAGATATGCCCTTTGTGTGATGTTGCTTGGAATCTGCAGGGGAGAAGAGGGACTTGGTGGAATCCAAGCCAGCAAGACCACTAACAGGGTTCCCGTGGACCCACGTAGGAGTGAGGGGCCACAGACAATTGAAAAAAAGAGCCACTCAGAGGCTGGTGAGTCATCACAAGGGTCTAGTGCATGGCCTGCCCCATAGGCAGGGTTTGGAATGTGGGGAGTAGGGGTGATGGGCCAACCGGGGGAACACCAGGGCACCACATGGACAGCTGATCTGCCCTCCAATCAGCACAGGCCCACTCAGCAGAGACTGGTCAGGAATACAGAACTGCAGCGGGTGCAGTTTGCTGAAAAGACTCACAACCAGACCAGAGTTTCCACACAACCCAGATGTATCGGACCTCACAAGACCCTGAAGTGCTTAAAAGGTCAACAGTTAAAATCCGAGCTGCACAAAAACCCTTCTTCAGGGAATCAGCAGTGAAGTAGCAATTTAGCTCAACCACAGAGCTCAAGTGCTGGTCCCCACAGGAAGTTCCCTCATTTCAGAAGTAACCAAGGGAAAACAAATTAGTTCCGGTGCAGAGTTTTTAAGTTGTGGGAATAGCTAATAATCCAACAAAGAACTCATATTAAAAACAAAAAACACACAGATCAGAGACAAAGTTCTGATATTAACGAGTAAAGGTCTAACACCACCAAAGAACATCTATAAAACCTAGAAGGACCAGAAGCCCCCCAGGATCCAGAGCCAGGGCAGAGAGGGGGCCTGAGAGCCTCAACCATGCCCTCCCCAAAGTCCACATCCAGCCCAGCAACAACCAAGCTGCCTCCGAAAGCCACCCCAGCTCCTGAGCTGGGGTGGGAAGGGGGACAGAAGGTCTCAGCCATGCCCCTCCAATGTCCACATCCAACCCAGTGAAGACTGAGCTGCCGCCAGAAGCCTCCTGGGCTCCTGAGCCAGAATGGGAGGGGTGCCATGGGCCGGGGCCACACCCACCCACCCCCACCCTCTGCAACCAGGCCAGAGAAAAAGCCAGCCCCACCCCCTCTCTCTCCTGTCTCCTCACCCCCTCTCCCTCCCTTTGTATCCCCCCATCTGCTCTGCAACATCTTAGAATGTAAAAAATAATAATAATAAATTTAAAGAAAAAAAAGATACATTATTAAGTGACAATGGTGAGGCGAAGAACAGTTAAATATGGGTTAAAATTTTAAAGGGGGGATATGAACGTACAAACTTGTTTATACAGGCAGAAAATATCTCTGGAAGGGAACATAAGAGATAGGCAACAGTTCTTGTCCACACTTTTCACTCAATATCATTTTTTCCTTTTCAGTTTTAAATCATGTGAATTTAAAAATAGAAATCTAAAGAGAAAAAAAAAAGAAGGAAAATGAGTTCTAAAAATCAGTGACTCTCACAGAACCCAAACATCTTAATATTCCACAAACAGAGCCCTTACACTATCCTGCATCTGGCACTAGAATCAAGACTCTATTTCCTTTAAGAGAAAGACTACCATGACCACTAGGCTGGATTGGCTGCTCCTCTTCTATACCCTCTTCACTTCCTTCATTGTGTTGTGTTTATGTGTTTACCTGATTGTATTCCCAGTTTTCTGATGACAGTAATTGAACCTGATTCATCCCCAGTTCTTTGATCAGATACTGACACATCTTAGGTACTAGAAAAAATGCTTACTGAATAACTTTTTAAAGTTTGGAAAAAGGACAGGCTTAAGATAACTGAGCCAAGTCTGGAATAACTTTCTCATTGGTTGTTACTGGGGAAGCAGGGAGAGCACCTGAGGATAATGCCGAGCCAGCAGCAGCTTCATTCTCAATGCTTTGGCTGCCCAAGACAGATCTTTGGTGCTTCTGAGAGAATAGGATCCTGCATCATGATAGTGAACAAGGAAGGGGTGGTAGAAGCAACCTCACCAAACACAAGCACTCTTCCGACATGAGAACCTCTGTTCTAGGACAACTCCCTAGGATATATTTACCAGGTCCTAAATTTCCACTTGATATCTCTGATTCAGTTAACAGATATGTTCCACCTGCTAGGGCATCCAGCAGTATGCTATATGCTGTATGAAAGTACATAAGAAATAAAGAACACCTTCTGCCCTTATGATGCAGGAAGGGCATTAAGACAGATATTGAAAATGAACAATGTGAGCATATCCCTAAAGGGAGGACTGGAAGACTTAAGGGGTTAAAAGTACAATATCATATAGACTTAAAAGTCTCTAGCAGTTTTGCTGAGGGAGTTATCTGGTGGTTTGGAGGAGTTAGAAAAGCATTCTGGAGATGGATTTTGAAGAATATGTAGGAAGATGGGATGGTGAAAATATTTTATTGCAGGGCTGATCTGCTTTTGGGGAGGGACAGTGTTTTACTCATCTTTGAATCTTCACCTTTTACCACAAAGTAAGTGTTTAATAAACATTTAAGCAAATGACTGACTGAATTAATAAATAAATTCATGACTGAATAGCCTTTACTTAAGTGGAAGCCATAGCTAATTCTGTCAATGATTTCTATAAAAACTACCCAAAACCCAAATAGATTTAGGAGAACAGACCCTACACCCATTGTCTGTTTCTCCATCATTTTATCCGGAACACAGAAAGTGAACCTAGAACTCTTGAGCACTAGAGGTAGAAGAGGCCTTAGAGATCACCTAGTACAAGCTCTCACCTTAGAGGCAGAAACAGCTAGACAGCAGATAATCCACAATAACTAAGATTCTAGGAGGTAATAAAATGTAGTGGGAAAAGGATGTCTCAGCTTTAGAAAACTGAGACGTCTGAAATATTTAAAATATTTTTTAAAAATTCTGCTCTTTACATCAATTTTCCCTCACATGCTATTATAATAAAGCTTGGAACCTGAACTTCTATTCCTTTGAACTTGGTGCTTGAGCTGACAAAAAAGGAAAGCTACAACCTAACACTTAAAATAAAGACAACATAGATTTGTGGGTTACCTCCATTCAATAGCATTCTCCAGAGACTTGAAAGTTTTAGGACGACCACGTAAGAAATTCTGCATGCTATTAAGTGCATCCATGGCTGTACCTAGATATTAAACAGAAATTTTAACCACAGCATTTAACTTATTCTGAGCATTTATACTTACTGAGTCAACTCTATATATCTGCCCTCAATAATAGCAGAATTCAGTGATGCTTGGGGGAAAAAATTAAGATGCAATTTAAGAAAATTCAGAAGACTAATATGATAGCCAGCTTCCAAGATGGCCCTCAATAATTTTTGCCTCTTGGTATTCATTCCCTAGTGTAGTGCCCCTACACTGAATAGGGCTGACTTTTATAAGCAGTAGTGTGTGACTTTTGGGGCAGGGTCATAAAAAACATGGCCCCTTCTTTGTAAATGATTAAATAAAATTATGGGACATACATATGATTGAAAATACTATACAATCATAAAAAGATGTTAATAAAGGGTTTCTGATGACATGGAGAAAATGATTATATAATGTAAGTTATAAAAAGATATAAAGACAGAGGGTAAGTAATACTTCAAGATGAGTGATATCAACAATAAATTAAAACAAGATGGTAATCCACCACTGATATCTTTTATAAGTCTATCATTCTGATTTACCTTCCACAACATCAATCATGCACAGACCCAGGAGGCTTGGCACCAGGTTAGACGATGCTGTGTGAACTGCAATAGCACCGCCCATGCTATGTCCAATCAGCATAATTGGAGGAGGGAGATCCCCATACATGGCTTCAACCACATTGCCGACATCTCTGCAAGGAGAAGAAAAAAAACTGGAAATGCTCTCTGACAAGACTTTTTTTTTTTTTTTTTTTTGGT